GAGATTAAGGAGACGAGTTGAAGACCAAGCAAAATGAAGATCAATGGGTGACACGCCTTCGATCTCTGAGAGCTCATGGATTATCAATGTGCAAGTTAAACAACCATGGAAGTTGACTAAATAGGTTCAGCGTGGCCAGCTTCAGGAATGTGTCAGGAATCCGAAGCTATCAGTGAGTGCCCTTAATCAATCAGTTCTGTTCTTGCTTAGCAACCTATGGCGAATGTATCCAGACTTTAACAATCAAATTCAAAGCAATCTTCTGAAGCCTGGTGGTGTGAGGTCCAACTTCAATACGAGGTCGACGTAGCAAGATAATAGTAACAAATGGACGATCAAGATATTTGTCCTGGACAGGAATGATGTCACTCGCCCAATGGCCAATGTGATAACAGTCAAGGGTTCCCCAAAGTTGGAAACTACGTGCAATGCTATCACACCAGTACCGAATAGCAAGTTCAAGGTACGAATCCTGCCCAACAATCAACGGCAACAGGCATAAACAGTAACACAAGTCAACGTCAATACATTTACAGATGCACTTCTCGTGTCGCTGATTTACTCAATCATGTGCGTAGTGATAGCACACCCCCTAGCACAGTTCAGTTGCAAAAGCTCTAGAGTTCAGAGTTCAACCTTAGCACCATACCCACTGCTCACTGTTCTCCGAGCGGGTGCAGTGCCAGCCGCCAGGATGCAGATCTGCTCGTCCACGTCCAGATGTGCAGCAGTGGCAGCAGCGGTGTGTGGCAGCTGTAGCTGTAGTTGCTCGTGTGCAGAACTCTCCAGAAGCCAGGAGGGAGCAGAGGTGCAGCCGACTCAGAGGTCAAGTCGAAACTGTAGCCGCCTGAACACCCAGACGATGGTTGTCGGAACTGGTTCTTGTATTGTACCGTTTCTGCAAGCGAAAATATGGCTCACAATCGACACACAGGCCACATACACAGAAGTTCTTGCGGCCACCATCATCTATTATCGTGTACACCAGCGTCACTATCGTAACACATCTATCAAATAGACGCTCAATTTACCAACACGAGCATTTATCAATGAATATCTTACCGACTGTCGCGTTTCGTCGGGCGTGCTCGCCTCCCACTACTCCGACAAGGGCAACCGCCTATATTAAGGCGAATCAAAAGACAAACAAGTTCTTCATCACGGCCCGTGACCGATCTTGGACCAAAATGCCTGCACTCGCCCCGCTCGCCAACATGGCAGCCAATAGAGCGCGGCGGCGCCGCTGGATCTACGCAAAACAAATACCAGTACTTCGAAACATGAACAAAGCTTGACGAATCACGCGCTATTGGTATTACAAATAAGGATCAAAGGCCCAAAGTTCGCAAAATCATAGGCATAGTGTATCAGATACCCACAAAAGAAAAGAAACAAACATTGCAGCCTCACAGTACTTAGCTCATCCCCGACACAAGCCCCCCGCCCACCTCTAAGGCGCGGCCGGCGATCAGCTGATCGGCAAGGTCAGCCACCGGCCCAAGGGGGGAGGAGGGATGCGCCGGGGAGGGGAGGGCCGGCCGCCCGCAGGAACAGGCTACTAAACCGCATGGCGCCTACAGGTAAGTACCCAGCAAGAACGTCTTAATAACGAAATCAGTGGATTATTGTGAAAAAAAAATGTGTTCAAATGTTATAAAAACAAATTGGAAAACATTCAAAGGTTAGGAATATCGTGGAGGTAAAGTAAAAGTGAAAGCGAGGAAGTCGCAGGCCATTTGCAAGGGGCCTCTTTAGATGGACAGCTTCAACTTCAGCTTCAACTTATTCTTCTTATTACTTGTAGTATGATTTCATCGTATGGCAGTCGCACATGCATGTTGGGCGCTTTAACACGCGCACCGACGGGGGGGGGGCGGATATCCCCCCCCCCCCTGAGGTTTTTCGCGAATAGCGGGAAAACTGCGGCGCTACGCGAAATTTGGTACGACTATTCCCTCATCAATTTTACACATGGTGTGCAAGTTTGAACCTCCTACCTTTTAAGGTCAGGTCACCAGGTCACTTTGAATGACCCAGCCTCAAGTCACTTTTTTGCAACTTTGTCACCGTGCCAGAGCTACAGTAGATGTCGGAGGCCTTTGAAAGTCGCAGAATGTTATTAGGTCATTAGTAGCTACAATTTGTATATCTCGGAATTTTGATATCGGTGACCTAAGGTCAGGTCAATTTCGCGACCTCCCCATTATAAGTCAATGGAGGAAAAATCAACTCCCTGTTTTTACCACTAAAACGGGTCGGAATGGCCCCATATACCATACATGACTTCATATACGATCAACCTTCACTACCTTGAGGTCTGTTTTGCTGTTGGGCAGCTGTAAGGTCATGTGACGTCATCAAAGGTCACCCAAGGTTTTTTGCCAATAACTCCGTACAGGAACAAGATACAGCCGCGCGGATGGTCTCATTGTGTTCAGCTCGTCAAGACGCATCGAATGATATACATGATGACCTCGAGGTCACGTGACCTGAGGTCAACCTTTGACCTTGACCTTTCGAGGTCAACATATATATCATTCGATGCGGATTGACGAGAGGATCACGATGATGTCCTTAGTTTGTTCCTATCTTGACTAATTCGAAAGTTATTCGAGAAAAACTCTCCATATCTAGCGCCGCCATCTTGACTTTTTCGACCCCTGTGACGTCATCTTTGACTTGACCTGAAAATGGCCTTAGTAAAAATTGTAGACCTTGACCGTGTGTATCCGATGCCGTTTACCGCTTGTCGCTATCTTGCTTCGTTCTCGAGATCTCAGGGGGGGCGGTCATCCGCCCCCCCCCCCCGTCGGTACGAAGTTGGCGCAGACCCCGTCGGTGCGAGTGTTAACCCGCGCCCCGTAGGGCTACCGGCGGACCCTACCACCCGTAGGGGGGGGGCCGTTTCGGCCCCCCCCCCCTAAGATCTCGGAAAGTTACCGGCCGATTTTCAAAATTCAAACGGCGTTCGATAGCCCCACCCGGGAACTACCTTGTGACCAAATTTCATTGACCTAGGTCAAACCGATGACGTCACAGGTCAGGTCAAAGGTCAGATTTTCACCGTTCACAGGCAATTCAAGAAATGTGCTGTGAAAGCGAGTAAATTGGTAATTTATTGAAAACCATCGATGGTACATTGTTCGTCAAACACATACTTTGCTATCTGAGGTCACTGATACCAGGTCAGGTCACAGCGAGGTCAGGTCACCGGGGGTCACAAAATGAATGTGTCGTGTGATACATGTTTTATGGTCAATTTACATGACAAATGCGATTATGTGGGTTAGGCAGCCTTTGGGGCCAGCCTAGGTCACGTTTTGGTGAAGGTCAGGTCAAGGTCAGGTCAAATTAGGTCAAATTTCAAAGTTGATATTTTTGCATAAAATGGGCATCGATTCGATGCAGCTCGTCACGGGGAGTCTAATGGTGGTCTTCGTTTTGCTCTACGAGTTCTAGAATTGCCAAAAATTGAGTTTGAAAATTTGACGTCATCATTTTTGAACAGTTTTTTCGCTATAACTTGGCCAAAAAACGAGGTATCGATCTGAAATTTGGTATGTAGATAGAAGACGGTAGGCACTATCACATATATTCCGGTTTTTTTCGAAAATCAAAACAACTTTTTGGATTTTTTGGCGAATATATCCAAAAAAATGCTTTTTTGATTTTTGGGGGCCAAAACTCAAAAATTTCAAAAATTCGAGATAGCAGTTTTGTAGCCCTGTCAATTCTACACCTTTTATGTCTTGATCATTTTTCTGTATCTTCAAAGCTGTAGTCCTGACAGGTCTTCTCGCGAAGGTCTTTTTTCGGTCGAAAATGACAGAACATGACGTCACTCTGACGTCATTTGTGGCCAACCTATCATAGCCTCTGGAAAAATTTTTGGTCACAATATGTAAAATTGATGCCCGGAGGGGTCCTGAAAGTTTGGTGGCGATATCTCCAGCCGTTTAGGAGATATCGACCGAAAAGGACAGGGGGGCCGTTTCGGCCCCCCCCCCCTACGGGGCGCGGGTTAATGCTGGTGAAAGCGGTCGGTTGGATGGCCTGTATGGGAAAAGTGCGCGTATTTTAGGTAGGTAGGTATTCTGAAGTCGGAGCGTTGATACGGTTGGTTAGGGCTAATCGAATCAAGGCATGCCTGTGCTGAAAATATATAGACACCGGTAAAAATAGGCAAGATTTATGGTGGTAGCAGAGCTGAGAGACGACGTATATCATAGAAACTTATCCGGGGTTATCTTCTCAAGACTTCAGGGGACTAATCAAAAAGAGAGGTTGTACCTGAAAAAGCGAGTGTGTGGGCTTGAGATATAATACCGGAAATTGCACAGTTGGTGCTTAGTTTGAGGGTGGTACTGATAACTCCACGCAGCATCCTACCTAATGGGAAAGGCGAGATATGTGAGAGATATTTCTAGGAAATGTACATACAAAAAGGTACACAGGCGCTGTTTAACAAGCCTGGCAGTGACGCACGCATCTTGCGTAAAAACGGCAGCAAAGCGGACGTAATAGATGGCGGCGGCGGAGATAGGGCTGTTAGTTTAGCGCTGGAGCGCAGTTGAACAAGATCAGGTTGCTTTGAGTGTGAAGGACTTTTGCGCTGGGTAGGCAGAATAAGGGCTGACGTAGGTGTGAGAAAATGCGAAGTGATGTAACGAGAGTGTATCAGGCCGGGACCTCGTTAAATGATGCTGGTTTGGATCGCAACAGTTCAGTCTGCAGTTCTCTTCTGAAATTGTGTACTGCTTGTCTTACAGTGAGATCAATGTTATCGTATTTGGCATTTGTATCGCTTTTTCACTGATATGTCTGATGTCACCTGACATCCTTCGATGTCGTCTGTACGGACAAATTAGCTTCCGCGTGTTACCACAGTCCACATATCTAGCCAGTGTCATCCTTCCCCCCGTGTCATCTGTGTCATCGTACCTGACATGTGTCACCACAGACGTGTGTCACCATATCTAACCAGTGTCATCCCTCCCCAGTGTCATCCGTGTCTTCGAGCGAGGCCGGCGCCGTGGGACCGGGCTACCCGCCGCACCACTATGACCCGCCACGGTTTGATTCGCCCGGCCCCGGCGGGGCAGTGGCGGCCGCTGGGGATCTGTTTGCGTCGCCCATGAGACACTACATGTATCTGCCCAAACAGGGTCCAGGTAGGTGAACAGAATGTGGGGTAGGTTTTTAGCGAGAAGTGTAGGTGGTGCAATATAGGGAGTTGAGGTAGTCATTAGGTTGAGAGAGTCAAAGAGTCTTATGATTGGCAAGAGACACTTTTAATAGGTCATAAGTGTCTAGGAGTCATTATATTGACAAGACAAGGGAAACTAATAATGCGAATAATCGATTTGTATAGTAAGTTACATCGTGTAAGGTCATGATACAAAATTACATGTACAAAAATACATGTACATTAAAAGAAATCCTTGAAAAGTGCTGATAGCTTTAACAAAAGCTGGTGTTATGGGTTATATTGCCGAACGGGCTTTGCGTTTGTGGTTATGATTCCTTTGTGATGCTTCTGGGTTATGTGTTCCGTCATTGGAGGTGCCGTGTTCAGAAAGTTGCTGCGTTAGTTAAGTGTTATATTCTTGTGAATTGTTTGTGCCGTAGAAACATTCACGACTTGTAGGCAAGAAGCAATCAGTTATATTGTGTTCACCGCTTGTTTTTTGTTTTTAATCTTGCGGCATCCTCCGTTGTGCTTTCTATCCGGGGATTCCCCCGTCCCCCTTTCACGAACTTACATACTCACCCCCTTTCCTCTCCCGCAGGCGGAGCGCACGGCCGGCCGCCCCCGCCTCCCCCGCTAGGCGCCGCCTACATCCCGCCTCCGCCGGCGCCGCGGCCGCGCCCGCCGCCCGGGGCGGGTGCCAGCGGCGGGCGGGAGTCCCGCCGGCGGGGCCCCGGCCGCCCGCCGCGTGTCCCCCATGGCGCTCTGGCGGCAGCAGCGGTCGGGAGACATCCTGACTCGGATCTAGATGGTGAGAGGGAGGGAGGAGAGGGAGAGAGAGAGAGAGAGAGAGAGAGAGAGAGAGAGAGAGAGAGAGAGAGAGAGAGAGAGAGAGAGAGAGAGAGAGAGAAAGAAAGAAAGAAAGAAAGAAAGAAAGAAAGAAAGAGAACGAGAAAGTTATTTGATGATAGATTCTGTTTATACTTAACTTGCTAATTACTTACATTTAGTGCCCTGACTTACACTTGTGCTTACTTGGTTGATTCCATACATACAGGATCATGTTTGATCGTCTTGTTAATTACGAGCGAGCGAGCGAAGGGAATTCTTTTCAATATAACGGAAAAATCTCAGTATGAGCAGCCCGGCCCGGCCCGGCCCGGCCTGTAACGCTTTTGAGAGGCTTATAACTCAGCAACCGCTGGGCCGATTGACATGCGGTCTTTTTTGTTCGTAGCTCCATTCCTTCTACCCCGTGGCTGACTATTCTGATCTTGATTCATCTAGTTGACCGTCGTGGCACGTACCACGTGAAAAGCCAAGGGTTTTGAAGCAGTTCTACAGAAATAGCGATTTTTTTTAGGTCTATATCTCGGTAACTGCTTGGGTGATTGACTTGCGGTAATATTTGTAGGGTAGTTGCATCCCTTCTTCCAAACATCGGATACTTTCGATGCATGTGGGTCAACCCCAGTGCACGTGCAAAATGCAACAACACGAGGTGTCAAATTTGTCTCGATTACAATTACTCTGAAATTACTAGGGCGATTTCGCTGAAACTTGGCATACAGGTAGGCACCTGACCTACTAGGCAATCCATTCTCATGCGTTACGGTTATGGTGCTACTGCATGTGCGCACGTGCAGGGGGCGTTTCCAGATCTCGAGAACGACTGGGTCGATTGTGCTCAAATTTGGTAAGCAGTTGGGGACCGGTTAGTAGAGTGCCGTGCAAAAGTCTTTGAACCCAGTTTGTACGTGCGCACGTGCAGAGTGCCGCTTCCAGATCTCGGGAACGGCTTAGTCGATTGCCTTCAAATTTAGCACACCGCTAATGACTGGTAAGTAGGGTGCAGTACAAAAGCCAGTTGCAATTACCCTCTCGCCCTTCCGCACGTGCATGGCTCACTCTCTCGTTCGCTCGCTCTTCGCCCAAAAGGCGTTTTACTGGTCAATAGATTGGATCTTTGTTCCTGTGTACAACATACGGGGTTAATTGGGTTAAACCGCGTGAATAATGCGTTGAATTTGTGAGAATGTAGGGTTACATTGACGATTGACAACGTGGCTGAGTTTGCGTTCCTTATGTAGCTGTAGACATAGATCTGACGTTACATTTTTTTGTCGAACTCTAATGATAACTCAGTACAGTCCCGTAATAGATATAGAGACAGATATTGTGTGACGGTGCGGTTTTGTCGATTTATTTTTAGCACAAGCTTGCCGTATTTCATTAACTATCCATATCGGAAAACGGATCTCTCCCTATCAAGATGGTCATCATGGTAAATGCTTTGCTCAGTGATGATTAAAAGGGTGCAAGCTCGTGAACCACTTCTCCGTTTTCTGAAATGCTAACAAACGCCAAGCTAGTGTTTAACTGCATTGTATGGACTTGCCTAATTTTCTAAACCTCACTGCAGTAAGAATGGCTCATATTTTTTATATTTGACCCTCTTATCTCAAGTTAAGCCCTTTACCTCGTCTCCCCAGCCTCCATTGAGGATCACGTGACTAACGCCCCCCCCCCCCCCCCTCTCACCTTCAGATGACGATGAGGACCAGGTATCGGCCGTGTGAGGGTCTCCGCCGGCCTGTCACGTGTCAAGCCAAAGAAACGACGCCCTCGCCAGCGCGGAGCGCCGCAATGTACCCGGTGAAGGCAGTCCTAGTGAAAAAGTGAGCCGTGCACCCCTCCGTTGCCGTCAATGCGTCTATTCCGTTGTCGATGCGTCGATTTCGTTGATGTCCATGTGTCGTGTCGGTAGATTCCGATGCCAATCGGCGAGCTATCGTCGAAAGTCGCCGGGTTTGTCCAGATGCGCCCCCCGCCGGCTGATGATATATTCGTCGTGGTGGTCGGGATAAGGCAGGACTAGGATTTGTCGAAACTGGCCAGAAATCTCAAAACGGCGGCCCGAGGGATATGTATGAGCCTTTGAGATATGTCAGCATGTCTCGAGAATGATTATCCGTCTTCAAAGGGTGGCCAACTATCTAGGTGTTGAGCGTAGTTCTCTACATAGATGTTCGTGGATATCTAGGAGCTAAGTGTCCTTGCCCTGGAGTTGTCTGCTCCTAAGGAGTGTCCTTTTCTGGGGCGACTGGAGACAAGAGCCGCGGTTGGTCGGTTTATTTGAGAGCTCTCTGCTCGGCACCCCAATAGTGTATTTATTGTGTTGTTCGCGCTCGTACGTGAGCAACTAGCTTGAGAACAACGGGGTCGGAGGCGGGCTGGGCTTACCAAGCCAGGCCGCCGCGCGTCCACACTTCACGCAGAGCAATCAACTCAATATTTTGTGTCAAGTATTTTTGTATATTCACGTTTGTTTGCACGTGAGCAAGTGTCAGTTGTAGTTAGAGGCGAAATCCGCCGGTGGTATCGTGGTAAATGCGCCCTTATGGTTGTTTTCTGTCCGAACCCGGCCGATTTTGGCGCGCTGGGTGGCCGTAGGTGTTCAAGTAAGTCGGTTAAAGCGCGCCGGATCTAACGTACAAAGACGCGGGATAATGCGCAGCAATCGTCTCGCTTTGCCTGGATTCGCAGGCTGGCCTGACAGACTGACCGTCAGCCGGGCTGGTGAAAAAGGTCCTTTATATGTTTTATTGTCGTCTACTGTAGCAGTGTTCCTGAGCAAGTCTTGACGCTGTCGACTAGAAAGCTAATACGTTGATCTTTCCATTCTCACTGTATCTTCTGGCTCGCTTTCTGCGTGTTTTGCTATCCGCTGTGATGTCGCTTTTGGCTCCCTGGGTCCCCGTCCTTTTTGTAAGAACTGAAACAAGTGCTTTCTGCCTGAAGATCTGACGTGCGCCGTCTTCCCTCTCGCTATCTTGCAGATCTTTGATCGGACGGATCCTAACATATCATTCATATCCTCCAACCTCTCCCCCCCTTCCCCTCGTGTGAGAAGAATCGACGAATTCCGTGAGAGAAAGCCTGTCCAGACGATGTTGCGCTCTTTTTGACAATTTTTAGCTGCGTCAACTCGTGTGAGATTGACATCATTCCTGCTCGCTGAGATTAGACAGTAAAGTGCGACCTGTGATGACTGATGTGTGATGGATGTTGTGACGTAATGACGTGACGTCAGGTGTGTCCGATGTGATGTATGAGTTGTCCGGGGACCGGAAGATGTGTTGGTGCATAGTTCGGTCTCTTCACAATACAGCCAACATTGTGTCAGATGAGTGTTTGTGGGGATGGGAATTGGTAATCGAAAAAGCAAGAAAGCAGTCTAGGTGTGGAACGAAGAGATAAACAGATAACTCCTCAGCGGAACTGGTAGGCGGGAAAATAACGAGATTTGGAGCTGAGCAAAATAGGACACGGCTGAATATGCAAACGACGTCCGGTATCAGATGCTCCGGCTGAGGTCTGGATTTGCATGGAGACGTGTCGGATAAGAGTTAAATTGGCGGCTAGTTGGCACATATCGGATAAAGGTGTGAGAATTGGCTTGTACCTTGCGGGTTGCATTGATAGCGTCGTTTGAATTTGAGCCCGGACCTGGCTTGCTTTATTGTATGAAAAAACAGCAGTAGAATTCATCAGACTCATTCTAATCTCTCAAACTTCTTTTCATCTGTAATGGATTCGAACATAACAGATGAAAACTGTTCTGCTTTACACAACCACTTCGACACAAACCAACAATACGAACCTGAAACTGGGACACAAAGCTTGCTCCTTCCAACATTCCCTCGCCATTTCAGACACACGAGAGCACATGTTTCGTACCGCTTCAGCGCACGATGGGTATGCCGTCAAGACGTTTGATGTTTGGCAGCCTTTTGGCGGCCTCGTCGTGCCAGGTGCCAGATTCTGCATACTTCTCTTCCAGAGGATTTCCTACAAACACCAGCTCGACCAAGCTGGAGAGGTCGTTGACGCGCACCAACTCCGTCCAGTCCTTGACCTGGTTGTTGGACATGTAGAGTACAGTCAGCTTGCGCAGCACGTTGACTCCCTTCATGCGCTCGATGTTGTTGTAAGAGATCCACAACTGCTCCAGTGTATCACCTAAAGCTTCCAGACCGGAGAGGTTTTTGATCATGTTTCTACCCAGTGAGAGAATTTTCAGGTTCTTCAGCGCGTTCAGGTTAGCGATACGGTCGATGGAGTTGGTAGAGAGGGAGAGTTTCTCGCAGAGAGCGAGCTGGCCGAGGCTGCTGTCCATTTTCTCGATGGGAGGCCATACGCCGTTGAGTTTGACCTCCTTGGCCTCCGAGGCCTTCTGGCCCGTACGCTCCTCCCATTGTTTTAACGCTTCTTTGCAGGTGGTGGCTTTGGCCATTATGGTGAGACTTCTCGCCTAATGTTTTCTGGTCTAAATTCTAAGCCGTTTCACTCCAGGAATGCTTTGTTTACCGTTTTTGGCGCGACACTCGTCTGCAAAGGATATTTCTCCTTCCTTCCTAAGGCCTTCAATTCTTACGTGCCTCCGTGCAATGCTTCCGTTGAGCTAGCTACCTGGCGACGCTGTAAAATGTGCCGTGCTTAAAATTAGATACACATGCAAATAAATGCCTAAAGCTTGAATTATTCGACGATTTATCAAAGCTAGCGTGTAAGGTGTTATTTACACAAGCATGGCCGCAAAGTTTTCATTGACCATCACGAAATACGTCCGGGGAAAATAGTTGGTTCGCTCGATGTCAGTTTGTAGGGGCTCTTCTCAGTTGAAAATTGTTTCGCATTTCAAAATGTAGAGACCGTCTTTTTCATGCTGTGCTTCCCAGGTGTATTTCTATTTTCTATGTGTGATGACTCGACCATGGCGTAGATCGGAAAGTTTTAAATCCATGAATGCCTATACATACAATGGTATAATTCTCAGACGCTCCGACGTTATTTGAAGCACGCGTTGCATGAAATTAAATGCACAATGCAAGTGTGTCTTTCGTAAAATTCGTAACGTGACCCGCTCGAGCTAATCAAACCTTCAGTTTTCATCAGAAACTGGGCCTTGTGCAATGAAGCTAATACCAGCCAAGACTCAACAAAGGCTTGTTGTCTCATCTTACCCAGAATTATCCAATAAATGCCTTCGTGAGATTGAGAAGCAGTGGCGTTACCGAGCAAAAATATCGTATGATGTCAGGTTGCGAAACTTGCTAGAAAGCAGTGCAGTGGCGTGGATCGTTTGTTTTCAAGCTATTGCCGAAAGTTAGCGTGACGTTTGAGTTCAAAATGTTGAAATTAATTATGTTCATGCTGTTTGTGCTTGTATTTACGTCGTCTTCCTTTAGCTTCATGGTAGCTGTCTTGTCATGGAAAAGACATTGACTCTTTCATTTCGTGATTATAGTTATTTATTGGTCATTGCGAACAATCAACATATTCATTCAGGAGCGCACACGCAAAAGTAGATACGAAATACAGTGCTAATTGACACCAATCACGGTTGAACAACCATTCGCACAACTGCACTTGAAATTAATTCAACGTGAACAGCTAAACCAACACATAACTGAAGCTCATCATCACATTGGCGAATGCAATGCTGAAAATAACTACCAAGCACAGCAATCGTCCTAAATCCGTGATCCAACATCTAATCTCAATCCACAAAAGCTCCAATCCACCTAATCCACTCAACCACCTAATGCGCCAATCCACCTAATCCCAAATCCAGTTAATCCACCTGATCATCCACAGTGGTATACGGTTTGGTTGTTTCCCTTTCTGGGGATAGGTCATCCGGCAGAGCCCACTTTCCTCTTAGACCGCCACGCAGACCCAAATTGGAGGCTCGCGGGGCCCTCCTTCTTCCCAGGAGATCCTGAAGAAGTGAGTCAGGTCTCCCGCCTTCGTCTCGCTCGTTGCGATCTTTCGAGTCTTGACGAGTAGCTTCGCCACTATCGCTCTCAGGGCCTAGAGAGGAGGGGCGTTCTACAGAGCTTCGGCGTTTTCCTTCTCTTTTTCCATCCCGTTTTCCGTCTCTTTTTCCCTCGCGTCGTTTGTCTCGCGACTCGTCTCGTGATTTGCTTCTTCTCTTGTCCTTTCGTTTGTCCTTTCTTTCTTTGCGACGACGTTCTCGTGAGTCGTCTCGTGATCCTTCGCGAGACACGTCTCGCTTTCTTTCTCTTCTGTCGCGGTGACGGTCATGTGAGTCGCCTCGTGATTCGCTCCTTCGCCCGTCTCGCTGTTTTTCTCGTTTGTCACGTGATTCATTTCGTGATCCATCCCGTGATCTGTTCCGCCGTTTATCCCGTTTTTCTTTTCGTGGACGTTCCCGTGATCCCTCCTGTGATTCGTCCCGTGACCCGTCTCTTGAGCCCTCTCGACGTCCCTTTCGCGTTCCTTTCCGTGAGTCTTTCAGTGACCCATCACGTGACCTATCATGACTTCCCCTTTCTCGTGATCTGTCACGTGAACCTTTCCGTGATTTGCTCCCCTTTTTCCTTCCACCCCGTTTTTCGTCCCCACGTCGGTCCAATGATGAGCTACGTGATTCTTCCCGTGATCCGTCCCGTCTACCATATTGTGATCCGTCGCGTGATCCCTCTCGTGACCCCGTCCGTGATCTGTCCCGTCTTTTGTCTCGTTTCTCCCGTGCTCCGTCCTGTGACCCGTCTCTTGAGCTATCCCGATGTCCCTTTCGTGTCCCTTTCCGTGATTTTTTCTTTGATCCATCACGTGACCCGTCACGACTTCCACTGTCTTGTGATCCGTGCCGTGACCCATGTCGTGATCCACTTTGTGATTTGTCCTTTGATCCGTCTCTTGGGCTATCCGGGCGTCCTTTTCGCGCTCCTTTGCGCGATTCTTTCTGTGATCCATCATTTGATCCGCCACGACTTTCCCTCGGCCTGTCTCGCGACCCCTTTCTCGATCCATGTTGAGATCCGTGTGGTGATCCCTCACGTGATCTACTCTCTGGTTCATCACGCCGTCCATCCCGTGATCCAGAAGGTGACGCGTCTCGTGCTCGTCTCGGTGACCCTTCCCGTTCCCTGTTTCCTTGTGCCTCGCTTGCGGGGTGTGTTTCACCGGAAGGTTGCTGGCGAGTTTTGTTGAGAAGCGGCTCAAGCTGTTCCCTCAGCTCACCGAACCGGTGCTGGATTTCGTCCCTCTCCGCAAGAGTGTTGGAGTCCATCCACCTCTGGGCTTCTCCGGTGAGCTGAAAAACAGTGCGTCTTTCGTCGTCCGACAGCCCTCCACCAGACTCTTCGACAGTTCGCCCGGCAGAGTAGACGTATTGCTCAAACTCTTGAAGAGCGGCGACAGCTTGACGTCTGGCGTTGTCCTCTTCTTGAAACATCTGTGCCTCTTGGAGCATGCGCTCGATCTCGCGTTGGCTCAGCCGACTCTTGTCGTTGGAGATGGTCTTGGTCATCACTTTTCCCGTCTGCATCTCCTTGGCGCTGACATTGAGAATGCCGTCAGTGTCAACGGAGAACTCGACGTTGACGCTGACTTCGCCGAGCCGAGCGGACCTCAGTCCGTCGAAAACAAACTCGCCCAGCATGTGGTTGTCCTTGACGAGAGCTCGCTCCCCCTGGTACACGCCGACATGCACCGCGGTCTGGTAGTCTCTTCCAGTGGAGAACGACTGGCTCTTCGTCACTGGAATGCGCGTGTTTCTCTCAATGATGGTGGCCATGCTGTGTTTTCCTACGTCTGTGCCCAGAGATAGTGGGACGACGTCAATGAGAAGCACGTCGTTGAACGCATCAGTGGGGTTTTCGGAAAGAATGGTGGCCTGGACAGATGCTCCGTACGCCACCGCCTCGTCAGGGTTGATGCTCTTGCTGATTGTTCGACCGTCAAAGAAATCCTCGAGGAGGTTCTGCACTTTCGGGATACGTGTGGAGCCACCCACAAGAACGACCTCGTGGATGTCAGACTTTTTCAGTCCAGCGTCCGCGAGAGCCTGCTTGACTGGCTCCAGTGTTTGCTTGAACAAGTCAATACATAGCTCTTCAAAGCGAGCCCTTGTAATCTTACTGAAGAAGTAGATGCCCTCAAAGAAGGAGTCGATCTCAACTGTCGCTACTGAAGTGGAAGATAGAGCCCTCTTGGCCTGTTCGCACGCCATCTTCAGCTTGCGTATTGCTCTTGGACTGGTTGTGGGATCGACCTTGAACTTGCGCTTGAATTCATCGGCGAAATACTTAACCATCCTGTTGTCGAGATCGCCGCCGCCAAGGTGTGTGTCTCCGGCAGTGGAGAGCACCTCAAATGTGGAGCCGTCGGCGATGCTCAGGATGGAGACGTCGAACGTACCGCCGCCCAGGTCGAAGACGAGCACATTCTGCTCCCCAGAGAGCTTCTTGTCGAGACCGTACGCCAGCGCGGCCGCTGTCGGCTCGTTGATGATCCTCTTCACCTCGAGACCGGCGATCTTGGCAGCGTCCTTGGTCGCCTGGCGCTGCGAGTCGTTGAAGTAGGCCGGTACCGTGATGACCGCTTGTTTCACCTCGGTTCCTAGATACGCCTCAGCCGTTGACTTCATCTTCATGAGAATCATCGAGCTGATCTCCTGGGCGGTGAACTTCTTCACCTCTCCCTTGTACTCGACCACGACCTTGGGCTGACCACAGTCGTCGCGAACTTTGAACGGCCAGTTCTTGATATCCTCTTGCACCTTCGGGTCGTCGAATGTCCTCCCCATCAAACGCTTGATCTCAAACACGGTGTTCTCGGGGTTCCGCGTCGCCTGGCTTCTGGCCACTTCACCCACAAGTCTCTCTGTATCGGTGAAGGCGACGCAGCTCGGTGTGGTCCTGTTGCCATAGTCGTTGGCGATGATCTCCACCTTCCCGTGCTGGAAGACACCCACACACGAGTAGGTAGTGCCCAGGTCAATGCCGATCGTTGTTGAGTCCATTCCGAATGTTCGCAGGGTTAGGAACCCCTTTCACTGGGTTGTTATGAGCTCGTCTGTGCGTATCGGTTAGGCTATTTTTAGCACCCACAGGCAGCTGCTTAGAATGTTCACAACCCAATCAACGCGCGTCGCCGCGCAGTGGAGAGGTCTGGTGTCGGTTTCACTCTCTTCTGCCACAGTCACTGTTCACGGCAGGCCAATAAGGCTTCCTTTCGCAATACGATATCACTGTGCGACAGTCTTTTGAAAACACTTTCTTACACCGTTTGCCCTTATTTCTCCGACACTTTTAGCACCGCATGTCACAGCTTCAGGGTCGCTAACTTCACTACTCAACAGTTTTCTGCACAGGCCTGTGTTCGACCCGACTCACCAATGCCGAACTGAGACGCTCCCCGGCGCTCTGCTATCGGCCGCAAGGAGGCCCCGATCACTCGCCGACCATCGGGGAGCGACGGGGATTCACTCACGATAGCCGCCTGGTGACTGTGTGTGACACTGAAGAGGGTGGGAAATTTGTGGGGTCTGGTTTGAAGAATCTTGAGGGAGTAACCACTGCGCGCGAGCAACGTAGCCTGTACACTCACAGAATGGCTATGATAAAAACACCGCGCGTTGTGGTCCGGGAACTGACCCTAGCCGTGTCTCTACCCCTCCCCTTTCCTGCACGGTTGATAACGCCCAGGGGCGTCCGGTCTTATCGTGTTTGCGAGCATGAGCAATGTGTAGGTATCTGCAGACGTGCCAATCTGTGCCACGGAGCATGTGGGCTGCTCAGTGTCATTGCAACTACATAGATAGTTAGGTGAAATGCTAGGTGTATTGTATAGGTACGTATGTACGTACATACATACATAACAAAGCGTGGTGAAAATACGACGTGCAAATCCTGGTTTTTATTCAGTAGTATCTTGACATTTACTCATTTTGTCATGATGCATTTGCTTATTGTCGGTCATGCCACAATAGAATGTATCCAGAAGTTCAGAGTGCACAGATATAAGAATGTTTGACAATTTCCATCGATCATTCCCATGAGGTCAATATGATACTTATATGTTTCCGGATCGTCTGACGTATTTAGTGACCCAAATGTGACCCAAATATGACCCCGACAATTAAATTTGAGCATCAAAGACTTTGGGTGCTGTGGCGTCTAAACTTTCTGTCTCATCGTCTCAGTAATGAGCTTCATCAATAATCCGCGACATAATCATACTAAATATAGGTCCACCGCCCCAGAGCATGTGGCTGTGCGGTGATTTGATCCCAACCCATGACAAGCGTTAATGTCGGAAGGCTGACAGGCTGGGTGCTGGGTGGTGACATTAGACTTGGGAGACTACGGATCGACTAGCCGGCCGGCCCAGCAAGCCCTGTCATTACTCTGTCACCGGTCTCCCTTTTCAGCATGCGATATAAGCATTTACGTGATATCAGGAACGCATTAGATCAAGCTGTCGTTCATATGGACACAGCTGTACGGTATAATGTGTGGAGCGGCTAACGCATTGGTAATGGCATCCATTAGATACCGGTGGATCATGGTAATACAACGTCTGGTCTGGATGACGAAAAAGTCAGGTATACGCCCACGTGCGCTTTCCTCCTTTCAGTAACAACGATTGCCGGAGAAATGTGACCGATCTTGGAAATTTCCGCCCTATGTTGCCAGTTTTGATTTCCACCTATCTTACTCATTATCCTTGCTTTTTGGTAAATTTTGGTGGACGATGTAATATGTTGAAATCAAGCTGCCCTATTATGTCCACCATGATGCCTGTTCTGACTCGGCATAATGTAGTTTGCTCATATGTGCAAATGTTGTTTTCCAACTCCAGCACTGAATAAATACTGGCGGACAGGTCCGCTACTAGATGAAACGGTTGTAATTTGTGTCCACTGTCCATCTTTCATTGCGGAAACACTTAATTATAAGGGAACTTTCCACCATGGGAATCATGGGAAGTAAAATAGCAGCTTTGAAATTTTAAGTCAAAGAAGTGCTATGATTATACAGATAAAGGAGACATCGTACTATCCAATACTATCAATCACTCAATCGTTTCATTAGTGTATAACCATAGAGTACCTATCACACTAGTTCGCAATCTGCAATGCTGTTCAACATCATCTTGTCGATAGACACACGTGCTGCTGGGAGAAAATTGACACCATCGCCGTCTACCTTACCTGAGAAGAATCGTTTGTTCTTATCAACGATGGTTCGTGTCCCTTGTTCCAATTTTATTCTCGTCGTGACGCTATACTACATGAGCCAAAGTGGAACCATAATCTCATCGAATGGACCGGCCACCGCCTTTATCCCATTCTGGAGAGAGAGAGACAAAACTCTTATCTCGGTCTCCTTGGGCCATAGAGGCTAATTCGTGTGGCTCCAAAAGGCTTCTGAACGGTCATCTCGTGTCTCTCACTCATCAAGTGCGCCTCAATCTGGCCAGAAAAGGCGACCATTTACCAACGTCCGCTCTTTCTTACCTCAAGTGATGAGATGATCTAGCGTGGTCAAAACGTCGCCAACACCGATGATACGGTCTTTGTTAGATCGAACTCTTATGTGCGATGACATGCGATGACATAGGGACTTTAGTGAAGCACTGCCACTCTATCGCTACCTATGGAATGTTTGGGTCCGCGGCTGCGCTTCAGAGAAAGAAATGTGATAGTTTCGACACGGTTTTCAGAGAGCAAGGAGAACGTGGTGAAAGACTAAGTGCAAATCGGCGTAACGTATGTAATCAATAAACGACGTAATCTAATCTAATTGAGACGTAAGTTAATCTTGGTACACAGAGGTGCAAAAACCGACATACTCGCATACCAGGATATGTGACAGAAGAGAGCAGTCGGCAGTGCCCCAGAACAATTAAAAAAAAACTGAACTGCGCTAAAATTGCCTGTCTAACGGAAACTGGTTTGCAAATTCTGCGGCTCTAAAACTGTCACACGCGCATACTAATAGATTTTGAAATGCTTGTCGTTCATTGGCTACTCAGAAATGCCAGCATCATATGCTGCTGACGGAACACCCTGGTCCTGTCCTATCTGCGCCATTATATGTATTCTGAGCTGCATTATGCAAAAACCCGCATACTTCTCCTGTCACACCATGTTAAAGTAACGAATGGGTATGGATACTGTGGTACGTGTGACACAGCGAAATACTTCGTGTTCTCTGGCCTCGTGTGACACTGCTGTATTGCGTTTCGAAGGTGGTTGGTGGCCGTTGGCAACGGGCAACGCTATGCCGGCCGTTGGTGACGGGTCGTATTGACGGTTGGGAGCGTCGTGAGACGGAGGTGCTTTTTTGCTTTTTTGAGCGAGGCTGTGGAGTTGGCTGTGGACTTGATTCTTACATAAGTGTTTGAAGATATTCTTTTTCCAACGGGGCCCACTGGAACAACTGGGATGAGATGGTGTATCCATCGAGAGAGAAAGCTTTGTGTGGTTATCAAGGATGTAGCTACAATGGTCAACTTCGTTCGTTCAAGCGTCACAATCAACTTCTTCATGGAGGTCAGCCTGTTATTCTGATGAATGCTGGATTTGGAGCTGGTGGGCGATGGAGCAGCTGGATCCAACCTGGTAAGTGCTTAGATGTACCTACCTAGGAGCGGAGCAGGGGTGTAATTTCAGGTAAATGTGTAGATGAAGTATGGTGAAGATAGAAAACATCATGTAACCTCACCTAACTACCCACTAACCTACGAGCTTGCACCTACCGGCTGGCGGCTAACAACCTACAACCTACCAACCTAAAATCTACAACCTACCAACATGCCAACATACCTACCCAAGCAGACTCCATCTACACATATGCCTAATTTCATAGGTTTTTTTTTGGGGGGGGGTCTTTGTGCTTGTGTAGGAACCCTTGACCCTGAACAAATTGAAAATCTACATTTCTTGTTAAACATGATGAAGAAGAAGTCCAAGTAAATTACAAAATAATTTAACCTGACCTAACCTCACCTACTAACCAACTGACCTTCAGCGTACCAACCTACAACCTAGAAACCTACCAACCTACAATCTACACCCTGTCAACCTACATCCTACCAGCCAACATACCACTCGGATTTCATCTCCACATATACCATTTCCCTTGGAGAATCATTCCTCTAAGTTTGGGATGAAACATTTCCAAAATGTGTGGGTTGTGATAAATGTGTGGAACATTTCTAAACATGCAATATCCGAGATAGGTACCTACTAAATTTTTTTAGGTGTTAGGGTTGTAGGTAGCTACAAACCCAATTTACACTCAAGCTCTGCCCTCCTAGATGCCATAACAAGCTGCCTTATTTTCAGCATTGGGTGAAAGCTTTTGTACCCTAGGCTAAAAAAAAATGATTGTAAGCAACATATTGTCAAAAACCATTTAACAACCTAGAAATTGTCCAATCATTCACTCCTATTTTCATTCCCATTCATTCACACATTCCCATTTATGGATGCAAGGGTAGGTAAATGCAAGTAAAGGCATCATGCCCATAAACAAACAAATATTGAAGGTGAAATTTACCATTTTATTAAAAAGAGTAAGAAAACTTTGAAATTAACATAGAATAACTGAAAAAAATCAATTGCTTACATCAAAAATGCAAACCAGTAGTTTGTCCAAAAGAACCTACCATGCAGCACCATTTTTCAAAAGGTATCACAGTGGTTGGTCCCAGTTTAGAGCAAGAATGTTGGGTGAATGGTCAAGACTAAATGCTAATTGGAACACCTGACAGCAAGTCCGTCAAGCATTGCAGATAGACCCCTTCTGGTATTGATAACATGCGTAGGCAGTCAACACTGCAAGGAAAATGGATAATAGCATGAATTTGTGCCAAAAGTACCTAAACATCACCTATGTATTATGGTCATCAGTGGGACAAAATTAGTGATGATGCATGAACTTGATCAGATGGTACCCAATTTTTAGCTTGGTTTTAATGTTGGTCAGCATAAAACATTGGCACATTGGCTGTTTTCTAACATGCTGAAAGGTTTAGTGCTTTTCTGGGGTGTGGCTTATTTTTGGTGAATAGGTGCAGCATGAGGAAGCATGTGCTATTAAGTTTTAACTTTTCATTGCTAGTAACTGAGGGCCACAGCCACATGACACAGCAGAAGAGTGTTGAGGCTCTCCAATTCCCCATTGCCCAACATGTGATGCTTGATACTGACCACAATACTGATCATCTATCTTTTTCTTTGTATAGCTGCCACATCGTCATCCAGAATGGAAGGGTCCTGCAAGCGGCGTGCTGACCAGTCACCTGCCCATGAAGGCCCAGCCACCAACCGCCCGTGCACCGGTTCTCGCTCTGCTGAGCAGTCAGCAGATGTGTCGTCTGCCTCTGTGCGCCCAGCCGCCGCGCCCTGCCTGGAGAGACCACCGGTCCCCGCGGCGCCTGCCTCGTCCCACGAACGGGGTGAGTGACGCCTGGCGATATGTATGCGCATGTTGCAACTGCGATCGCTCTGGACATTTCTCACGTGAGCTGTCTATCCCAATGCCCAGAGCCATATCACAGTCAATGACACTGCCTCGAAGTCACGCGGTTTTCATAATCACTGCTAGCAAACATTATCAAAAAAGTTGCAAGGGAAATTTTGGTAGCCCATGGGCGTAATCGTAATAAGCTATGTCTCAAAGCCCTGCTGGTGTTGTTCAAATATATACTTGGCTAGCAATACTTTAGGTTGAGCTGCGCTGAATATGTTGTTGCTTCTTTCTATTTTCATAAGCATGATTCTTCCTGTGCTAGTCCTACGTTCTCACGCTATGTATGCCTGATTGCGGCAGATATGACGGAAGATCCAGACGACCCGACTGCTGGTGGCTCATCCCGGTTTGATGCGGATGCGGCCTGGGACGTAGAACCGCCGAACCCAGAGCCAGGTAGGTGCTATAAATTGGTTAGTTTGGTACACTATGTCTGAGATAGCCTCTGCTTGGTGGCTCGATATCGTTGACTCAACAGTACGCTCGCGAGCCATTGTGCGTAGGAAAGAAACGCTACTGTCATGAAATACGACTACCACTTTTTTACTGGAGTTACACCGCCGAACACTTCAATGTGGTAGCTTCAATGTTGTATGACAATTTTAAATGCTGGTAGCTTATTGAAGGCCATGTAAATGTTCTGTTGAAAGTCGCACTGGAAACATAATATTTGGAACCATTTTCATACAAAGTCGTGAATTCTCATTGTACGATGCTGCTTGATTTTGTTCATACAACATTTATCTCCCTCGTCCAACATCACCCTGGTCGTGACCTCAATACTGATCATCTATCTTTTTCTTTGTATAGCTGCCACATCGTCATCCAGAATGGAAGGGTCCTGCAAGCGGCGTGCTGACCAGTCACCTGCCCATGAAGGCCCAGCCACCAACCGCCCGTGCACCGGTTCTCGCTCTGCTGAGCAGTCAGCAGATGTGTCGTCTGCCTCTGTGCGCCCAGCCGCCGCGCCCTGCCTGGAGAGACCACCGGTCCCCGCGGCGCCTGCCTCGTCCCACGAACGGGGTGAGTGACGCCTGGCGATATGTATGCGCATGTTGCAACTGCGACCACACATTCAGTGACACTCTATTGAAGTCGCAGTGAGCGTGATCACTGTTAGCAAACATTTTTTTTTCCCAAATATGTTATGAGTAAAACTATGGTTAAGCTGATAATCTTATCAGTTATCATAGTCATGTATGCCAAATTGCCAAAGCCATGCTTTACTGTTCCATGTGGCATGGTGTGCTTGGAACTTGGTTAGCTGCAGTACCATCCATGAGACTGTAAGGCTAATTTGTCTGCTCGGCAGCAGCACTGCATTGTGGGAACATGCTCGTCATAAGGGCGCTGCAGCCAAAACCACTAGCCAAGGGTTACATCAAATTGAATTGAAACGACAATGTTTTTTTCGTGTAATTGCATGCCTCCTATACCAGTTTTGAGTACTTATAGCAATGTTTCCCTGACTTTGGCAGATATGACGGAACATCCAGGCGACCCAACTTCTGGTAGCTCACACTGGATCGATCCGGATGAGAGCGAGGCTACCGCGACGGCGAAGGGAAGACTGCCTGCCTCCGCAGCTGTCGCGGTGCCTGACCATGCGAGCCAGAGCACAGGCTGTGAGGGAGTATGTTCTGAATGTGGTGCATCATGCAGTAGCGGAGCAGGATTCTCGCAGGAAGATCGGCAGATCCTCCTCAGACTCGACCGAAGTCTACAGAAGATAGCCAGCGCAACATCTGGCCATCCCACCGAGCAGCCCCGCTTCCTGGACGAAGCCTGCCGAGTGCTCGCACAGCTGGCAAAGAGTCGTGCGACAAATGGCGATCAACCGACGCCCATGGTTGGTGAGCCAGATGTTTCTGCAACGCTTTTGCGCTCTGGCAGGAGCATCGCAGAACTGCAGAGGGCGACCGATGGAGACCTAACCTGGGATTCGTCAGGTAAATACCTTCACTGTAAAGTATGCGCCTCAGACGTAAAAGACCCCAAAAAGCAGCGTAGCGGCGTCTTTGGATATGATGCAACAGTCGGTACATCCTTTGGTCCGCGAGAGACCATGCCTCCACGCTTTAAGTCGCTGAAGCAAAACGTTGCTGAACACTTCCGGTCAGTCGGACATAAGGAGGCCAAGAAAGCTCACCTTGAAAAAGCATCCAGGCAGGAGGCGCGGGTCATCGTGGACAACACCGCTGCTTCGAATGTCCTCCGATCGACTTACATGGTTCTGAAAAACTCACTTGGCCATACACTATTCGAGGAGCTGATCCTCCTGCAGCACTTGAACGGCACACAAGTCGGAAACATCAACCATTCTCGAATGATGATGGCTACAGCCCGAACGGCATTCCACCAAGTCATTCAGGCAAAAATCAAGGAACAAGTGCTCAAGCAGCCGTGTGTCGCAGTCCTGGCTGATAAGGTAACCGTGGCGCGCAGGACAGTTGACGTGACGGCCATCCTCATGCTGCTGCCAGCTGCCAACGCGGAAGACATCTTTCAGAGTTTTGTGGTGGGCGCTCCGGTAGTCCAGCAACACGACGGCGAAGCACTGGCAGCTGACATCCGGGGCTCGCTGGAAAATGTCGGTGTGGTGGCCACTGGCCAGATCTCGGCCGTCGCAGCGGATGGCCAGTATCACCACAACGACGTGCCGGCGAAGCTGGCGCGGATGCTGGACGGCCCATCGGACCTGCCGGCCGTGTGGGACCCTGCTCATCTCATGAACTTGGCCGAGTCAGATGGAAGGGGAGCCGCACACGCTGCGTGGGTTCCAGAGACCATAGAGGTTATGACGGCGGTTACGAAACGGTTCTCCCACGGAAAGGGCTGGGAAGATCTCATGGCCTGCGGAGATAAAAGCACACAAAAAGCCCTCCGGCCAAAGATGTGGTCGGAGACGAGGTTCGCGGCCCATGCCGGTGAGGTGTTTTACACCTTTCGCCGCAACCTTCCTCTCCTATGCACCGCGCTCGAGGAGAAGTTGAAAGAGGAGACGAAGCCTGCACAGCTAAAGGAGATGAAGAAGGAGCTGTGTCATCTGACAGGTATGCAGTCATGACAGATTAGTGTGTACTGTTCAATGCCTGAAAATAGCAACCGCCACCACCTTCATTCTTTTGCGTCTGTGTTTGCATGTGTTCAATAATATATCCTCAATCGTTTTATTATTTCAATCATACCATGATTAAATTCGCGGTAATTTTCTCAATTTTCCAAGTTCCATTCGGTTGCTCGGCATGTAGATACTTTAATACCCATTATTTCCATTGCGCCACATCACTTAATCACAGGGCGTAGCGCCATTTGTTTCATAATAAGCGTTTTGAAACTTTATCGGAGTTGTCTGGCCCCTTTGCGCTGAAATAAGTTCAGAGTGAATTTGTTTTATAGTACCACTATGTAATCATCGGGTTTAAGGCTGGGGACCAATGACCTGACAAAACGAAATATTATTGTGTTTCCAGATCCGTCATTCCACGTTCGGGTCCGAGCACTGGAAGACATCTATAAAGTCCTCGGCAGCTACAGCGAGGCGGTGCAGAGCACGCATGCGCTACCATGGGAGCGTCAGGCTAGCCAAGAGGACGTGGGTAACCTGCTGGAGCGAATGCGGCTTTCTCTTGTGGCACAGCACAAGAAGTCGCCGTCGGTCTCCGAACTCTTGGACATCGCCGACAACGAGAAGCTGTGGCCCAGCCTTTCTAAAAGCGAAACAGCCCCGCATGTACAAGAGGTAAGATTGCTCCCATGTACAAATTGAATGGTTTATACATGCATAATTATACTGCTAGCATTGAATGGTTTATACATGCATACTTATACTGCTAGCATTCAATTCCAATAAAAAAGTGTCGATTCGGTTGTCAATTAATGGGAGAGTCATTTTCTTTCTTTCACAGGACATTGCTTGAGGAGGGAAAATACATGATATATGAGTCGTTGCAGATCTTATAGAAATAGTGGGAGAATTCGGTTTTGATATATTGTTAAACATTGAGTTATAAAGCGCACATTATACTCGCCTCCCCCCTGCTGAACTGGGCGCTGAATTCGTAACTGTTTCCGGCAGGTCGCCAAGATCGCCCGGTACTGCTCGATCCTCAAAGAACGCCTCGAGTTTCGCGGGAGAGGACGCGACAAGGCCGGGTCAAGCAAAAACTCGTCGAACGGCGCCATAGCCGACCACATGGATGACATCCGAACCATCGCCGACCTTCAGAGACTGGCGCTGTCCAGCACACCTGCGCCAGTCCTCGCTCGCCTCGTGTGGGACGCTGGCCAAAGGCTAGCTGCTCGAAAGCTGGTCCCCAGGGCTGCAGTGCCGGAGACGGGACACATCGAGGCGGGCATCTGCCTCGTGCGTGCCCATGCAGCATGTGGCACAAACCAGGCACTGTGGAAAGTGCTTGTGAGCAGTCAGCACGCCGGAGGTAAGTCCCAAAAGTTCACGGACTTTGTGACTCGCCTCTGGCTGCTCTGCCCGCCGGAGAGCGTGGTGGAATCCATGGCAAGTGTGATCGGGGAGGTATTCGGCGAACACCGAAATCTGAGCCATGAAAATGCGGCCTCTGAGCTGGCCATCAGGTGGAACGGGCCGTGTCTGGCCAAAGCGGACCGGCTGCTCAGCAGCGTTCGCCGCCGCTTGTCCGCCAGCGGCACCTTCAGGTGCACTCGGAAGACCTCAACGGTAGTCCAGGCCTTTGAAGGCACGGTGCTCTCGCGCCTGAAGAGGACTGCGAATACCAAAGCGTGCCTTTGGAGCGTGTAGATAGTTTAGTTGTTCAAGGTCAGAAAATTCCAGGTTGAAGGGAACTGTTCACCTCCCCCACAAAAAAATATTAAAAGGTACTATACCACTTTTAACATGGATTTTGAACTGAAATAGCAGTTTTGTAGCTTGAGCTGAGACTAGCAGTACCGAGGGTTTTCATGACCCAACGATAACCCCAGGCAAAAGTAGTCCATTTCTCATTCCGACGTAGTTTTAGCGGAAAATTCTTGGTTAACGGAATGGAGCACTTCCCTTTGAAGGTGAACACTTCCCTTTAACCTGCTCTGGCCCGGAGAGCTGTATTTTTATAGAACCTCACCCCCTCCCCTCCTTAAGACAGTTTTTGCTTACTCGCTAAATGGCGGCAAACTAAATCGTTACATGTGCTCACCATATTCAAGGTTGTATTTATGAACTCGTCTTTTGCGTTTTATGTACATGGTTGTCATTGTCATTCGTGCTCGTGCATTCATTTCATTCATTCGTGCTAGTGTAGATGTTATTTTTGCGGCGGCAGCGACGGGCGGGTGGTTGACGGCCGTTTTGGTGGCCGTTTAGCGCCGGCGGTGACGGACGGTTAGTGGTGCTTTTGGTGAAAGTTGGCGGCCGCCAACTTTCATGCCGGCGATGCCTCAGCATTGCTACCTGCGTTTATTGTATTTGTTCTGGCACTCGCTCATTGTACATTGTCACGCAATACAGTTATTGCGTTGTGTTTGCTTATTTTGCTTAGGAAATTTGAACCCTTACATTAGATTACTGCTGCAGGTGGTAGTGTTATGCATTGGGTCGTAGATTATAAGCTTTTAACTTCTGCGATCTGTGTGACAGTATGGCCTGCCACAAGTAGGTATGTGACAGTCTGGCAGGTTTTTGCACCTCTGTTGGTACAGACCACAGACCCTCTCGACGCAGAAGGAGCAGGCGAGGATGTGTGTGACATGACTCTCTGATGTATTTATTATATTGAGAGTACAAATACATGCATTTTAGAGTGTGCAAGTTTTCGCAACTACATGCATTTGTGTTTGTATTGAACAATCATGAACGATCTGCATCCTAAAACTGCGTGGCGATTATGTGACTGATGTAGTCGGATGCTGATTTAGTGGCGGCGATTTTGTCACATTCGCTGTTGAGTTCGCTGTGTTTGTGGCACATTCGAGTTTAATTTCGTGGCTTTAATTCTGATAGGCTCGCCTGGTGCTATTCAGTGGGGATGACTCTGGCACCTTCTGATGCTGATTTAATGATGGTGGTTCTGAAACGATCGGTGGATTGGTAAGCAATACAGTGCTGGCGGGTCAGAGCCGGTGATTCCAATACATTTGAATGCTAGCTCAGTGCTAGATTCTGACACGTTCTGGTGCTGTTTTAGTGCTAGTTTCTGACACGCTCGGATGCTAAATTTGTCGTGGATTCTGGCACGTTCTAATGCTGGTTTTGTGTTTGTGATTGGCTGTTACATTCGGTTCACTGCTGCTTATTTAGGGATGATGACTTTATTGACCGACACATTAGGTCGATCATTTAGTGATGTGGCATGAAACGCAAAGCTAGATGCCTCACAGTCTATGGAGCTTAAGCTGACCTTTGCTGTATTCGGTCGCTCATATTGATTGGTGAACGCTGAGGGCAACCTTCATCGAGGTGGAATTGTTGTTCTGTCATGCGAAGCTAATAGGCGACACGACTTTCATCTTTCCAACAGAGAAGGTTACATCAAGAGACTGACATTAGCTGATGTGAGTAAAAGATGAGGATATGCTGCGTGTAATTTTATCCTTGCAATTGCCCTTTTTGTCAGTGTGCTGAAAGTACCTTTATTGAAGCAGAATTATTGCTGTTTTGTCTGTTCAGATGACGGATCCACGTCTCCAAGTGTGAGTCAATCATAGTGCCCTGGTGCTCTCAGCAACGCACTCAAAGATGACCGAAGGTCATAATCCTGTTGTGAGCCTAAAAGTAGCAGACTTTTTCAGCTATCAGACGGCGCGTTGTCGAACGCAGAAGCGTCTCGTCATGTCTACAGATGCTGCCAACAAACGAAATCAAAGACTTCTGTTCGAAATCAGAGTTAACTACAAGCTAGATGCGCTTCTGGTTCGTTGTGAAATTGTGAATGCGTTGTTGTCACTTCAATGCAAGCCCGTTGCGATTCAGTTTGCGAAAAGAAGATAGGCCAACAGTTTATTACAAACTGAACAATATTTCTAGAACACCGAAAACATTAAAATGCTGTCAACATTTACACATTCTTTAGAGACACATTCGGAGTCTGCCATGACATTCACCAATGAACAGCGGATGTTTGGTGTCAAATATTTCATGTTTTTAAAGTCATTACATCAAAGCCAACACCCATCACTGTACGCATTCAATCATCGGAACGATACAATAGTCATTCATTTATCTGCCACCACGCTTACACTCAAAAGACAGGATATCTTTACGCTCACCACGAAGTTGTACGTTATGCAATCATAGCCATTGTTGGCCCATTATCGAAACGTTGCTTCTGCCGCCTAACCATGAGATGATACTCTTAGCATTCGCTATGAAATTCATCGCGATGATTCTAAACGTTATCATCACATGTGTTTCATTCAACAAAACTATGTACAAATACGAGCAACAAAACACACTTTTAGGATCCAGTCCTACTAAATTATAACAAAAAACATTTATATACTATACAATGGTGTACAATATAGATGTATACCGTTCAGCTGTATATGATTGAGGTCATTTCTAGTTTCAAAAAGTCACACAAAATGATAAATACATAGTCGATTTGTGTTACGGTCGCAAGCGATCTACGCTTACATACGTTTCCACGACTAGCTTGAGCACTCACAAGTGTTTCACCAAAGCTCAGACCATGTCAATCCCGACAATTCTTCGTTCAAACACATTCTATAAACTACGTGGATGCATTATCTGTAAGTTGTCTTTCGTATGCGAGAGAGCATTATACGACGCAACATGGAAAGTCACACTCTTATCTTAGATCTAAACACTTCAAAGCGTTACAACAATAACGCACCACCGCATGCACACATTTAAACTATACCATAAGGAGTGTTTCACACCTAGCGAAAAATACGATATCTGGCTCATTTTTAGGGCAACTTTTTATCAGCATGTACTCGTCTTTGTACTCGCATTCGACACAAGTCAGGTCATCGATGAGAGCTGCCTTACGTCTTCTCGCGCAGAGAGTCAGCTAGCTGTACATTTTCTCATTATACTTATATGAGACACAATCATTTAAATGGATAGCTCACTCACCTAATACGGGAACACCTGTATCTACCTAAAAGTCGGAAATAAGACCAAACTTGGTAGCATGGCACTAATATAAAGCAGGGTGTTGGAAGATTCACATGAAACAGGGGCTTTTCGCTTTCGTAAATACAGGTAGGTATGCTGCCAATCAATTGGAATCACATAATTAATCGATTGGTATCGCTATCAATCGCAATCGATTCGCTAGCATGCAGCAATGCAGGTTCTAAATGCACCATGCGTTTCCACGCTACACATCGGAAGTTCAACCGGTGACTCTGAAGCTCTCGAGGTGATAAACGATAGTGACTTTGCTGCTGCTTTGACCGTGTGTGACACAAACTAAGCACCTATTTTTACAGCTATATTTACAGAAAAAAGATGATGGTAGTATTTTCACAGAAAAAGCAAAGGCCGGACAGCCTTCGTCAGACTTCGGCGGTTTCAAGTCAGGCTACTTCGTGGAATTATGCGTCGACTCTTACAACATTGAGCGTTACGCGCTGTGCGAGCCACCACAAATTCAATCGGTTTGACATTAACGAGATTACATTGGGCTAAGTGTCATCGTTAGTTTCGTTAATAAAATTTAATACGGTGACAGAATAGAGAAAACGACAATTTCTGTCGTCACTGGCTCTAGCGCGACTCATCGAACATCTTTTCTCTCCTAAGTTTTCCATAAGTACCACTCAGAAGGATCATAGTTGATTATCATGGCCACTTGCAGAAATCTTGAGTGATTTCATGGCCGCAGATTAGATAAGATTGAGGAGAAAAATTCGACCCTATCGGCAGTTTTTGCCTCCTATTGTGATGAAAAATCAATAGTAGCAAGATTATCAGCAGGAGATTGTTTGACACCTTAGCTTAGCCCTATGAAATTAAATATCCATGCATATGCATTAAGTACCCAATCGCCTGCTCCACTATTTTATGCCTTTTTAACACTTAGTTGTCAAAATAAACAAATGCTCTCAGCTGTTGTTGTTTATCCATATAAAAATCGTTGTAGTATTTGCTGATGGAAGTCAAGTCAGGATGGCTCTCCATAAACTTTTTTACTCTTTTTGCCCGGGTTGAGTTTAGTTGGTATATTTTCTCGTTCCTGACACATTTGTTTTGTACATAATCGCCTCCGTTGCATTATTGCAGCACATAATTTCATGTGGGCTGAAGTTTAGGAGCCAATTATGTTAGTTGTCCCACCAGCAAGCTACCAAGAATGTATTTTGTTTCCGACGGTGAAGCAAAGAAACTCATTTAACGTTAAACAAATAGCTCTAATTCAATAGCCGAATAAGCAAAGTGAAGTGTTTAACTCCGTGGCATAAATATGCGTTCTCATCCGTCAGTCATCTGCAGAGTTCTTCTGAATTCCGCAAGACTAATCAGAAGTGCACGACACCTCGTAGGATCTCAGTCAAGCATTGGATCATAACTGAGCCACATTTAAAACATTTTGATAGCTTGATTCTATTAATGAGCTCACTCAGATTCCAGACTGATTTGTTGTAGCGATTGTAGCGTCACATGGAAACCTGGCGACACGTGACGATTCCATATCACGTGGTAACCGGACATTATGTGGTAAGATCACATCACGTGGTGACCAGACATAGCGTGGCAATTATCCCTCACGTGGCGCGCTCACATCACGTGGTGTCCGAGGTTGAGCCCCACTTCTTTCATTTCCTGGAGCTGGCGCGGAAGTTGGTAGAAGTCTGGGCAGTTGCTGCTCCACTTCCCGGGACTAATGGCATCTTCGGAGCACGGCGACTTTAACGAAGTCCATCTCTCACAGTTTCTCACCGCGTGAGACCCTGTTCTCACAGTGTGTGAGACAGTTTTCATCGTGTGAGATTCAGTTCTCGCCATGTGAGATTCATCTCTCATCGTACGGTTGTCATTTGCGTACGCCGAGAACTGGTTCCATGGTGAGGCATCAGGTGCACGAGAGCAGCCGTGTACCCTGTCAGCAAGAGAGGAACAGTATGCTCATAAACTGCGTAAATAAACAAATTAAGTCGCAAGCGGAAGTTACACGGGTGGTAGTGAAAAATGCGGGATAACAGTTAACTCGGGAAACTTGCGAAATATGCAAGGACATGCGTGAGTTTGATTAGTGGTTAGAGTTTCAGCGGTGAGCACATTCTCGGACGCTTAATTATTAGTGCAAGACAAATTAAAACGGAAGTCTCTGACAAAAGTTACGACTGAATGCGGTAAATCCTTGACATGGTGGAACCCGGCCTGCTGAAATATGCATGTTCTAGTGCCGAGAATCCCAGTCTCAGTAGGAAGCCGTTTTAAGGAGCTGAAACGACTACAAATTGAATTAAATCGCGTTTTATTTTACTTAACCAACGCAAATAACAAACATGACGATTGTGACATATAACAATTTAACATCAGACACTGACAATCTGATAATAGTTGCGTGGTTGAAGAACTGGCATTTTCCGTGACCCAAAAATGCCTATATAATGGCGTTTTTTTTGTGAAACGTGACACATTGCATTTATCCGCCAGGCAGGCGGAAACGCCGTGAAGAGAGCTGCTACCCTGATCACGCAGTCTCGCCTCGACGTCCACCCGGCAGTGGCGCCTGGTTGCCGCCCTCAACCTCCCGGCTAGTTCACAGAAGGCCGGCGATCTCCCCTCACGGCGAAACACACCCGTCCTGTAGGTCAATTGACTCTCTTTCACCCAGCTGTCACCTTGACAACTTTGTGCCTGTTGGCGAAGAGGTTGGGTGTTGTCCCAAGACCTGTGTAGCTGTCATTCTGTTGCTGTCCAATATGCCCCCCCCCCCATACTGTATTGCCCCTGCCACCCACCCACCCCCAGTCAGCTCGGTGCCACGGGCATCGGCTGAGCCAGCTGTTGGTTAGGTACTCTATGGTCATTCCGTCCCTCCATTCTTCCCAACCATCTAGCTTAGCTTGCATGGCCAATTATTTTAGTTACAATAGATAACGTAGCAGCAAAACCCTTGAGTTACATAAACGTCGCTATTACATCAGTTTAACTACGTTAAGACACGATTTTGGCAAGTCGAGACTGCACGTCAATCAGTCCTGTCAGAAGATTCTATCGTTGACCGCCGGGCGTGAATGAAGCGCCGCCACGCCCGGCTGCCTCTGCACCCCCAGCGCCCGGCGCTGGCACCGCGCCTGCCGCGACCGGTCACGTGACCGCCCGAGGGCCCAACTTAGCGGCGGGGCCGCTACGGTCGCACCCCGGGCGGGGAGGGAGAGAGAGTGGGCGGAGTGTAGAGGAACAGTGACCGCTCGGTGTGGTTTTACGAGCGACGATGATCGTGGTGGTGGAGCGACACTGGTGATGGTGGCTGGTGCTCGTCGTGCACTGGCTGGTGATGGCGCAGGTTGAGCGACGGACACCAGCAGGGAGGTCATCACCAGTAAGACCTGATGGCGGGCGGTGTCACGGCGTTCCGCGACCGGCAATGGTGAGTTATGATCTTCGGTTTTGACACATAACTACTCGCTACTCACATAAATGAACAAAGAACAAAGAGGCACGGAGAGATGGAAAGGGGACCCTCGCGAAAGAGGAATACCGGCACAGTCGATTGCTGACGCTGCGCTCGAGACGAAGAACTGGGCTTTACTCTCGATATTTCGACTCTTTTTATATTTTTTCTCTTTTTTTACATTTTCGTGTCTTTTATAGCTAATGACTGAGTATACTAGCTTGTCGAAGTATTCCGTTGGGAAATATAGGGACCAGGCATATGAGCGGCAGTCTGTTGGGATTGTCGATGTTCGCAGAAAAGCAATAATAAACATGTGATTAGAATGCACAACCGTTCCATCTATATTCCATAGGGTCAATCAAGCTACAGCTGCATTCGTAATTTTAGTTGTTTGTCTTTGTAGCGAGGGCAAAATAGGAGTAGGTTAAGCTGATTCAGGCTATCCTTTTAGTGGTCATTGCTAAGAAATATATTATTTTAAAATTGACCATGACAATGATGAGTGCAGTCATGGATGAGATAATAATGGATTGGTGTCTTCGCAGTTTTTGGCGACATTGAGCTCAGGCCTGCCATCTAACGGGAGAATTATCGTAAGTTAGGAGCAAGCCGAGTGAACGCCGCTGATTAGCATTGTGACACACGGGAGTGTGGTGTAGTAGCAGGCTTGTTGTGCAATTTTTCAAAGGGTTATGTCTTTATATGTCAGTAAAAGCGAAGAAATAAATAGATTTATGTGCAGGTCAGTAATAAGATAAGCAGTTCCATGTTATTTTCTCATTAAATCGTGAAACAGGGAGTTATTGGAGACTTCGCCAGCACGTGTCGTTTTCGCTATTTTTCACATGAGTCTTTACTTGGCCTAAATCAAACAAATTGTCCGATCAAAGAACAAAACGAACGTAAGTACTATGTATAAGTCTAAAGAAAAAGTTAAACGGAATTGCTAGCGTCATTGCCGCTCAATATATCATTCAAGACGCTCTATGAAAAGGACCCAACCAGTATTCATTGTATTCACATTGTTTCGGAACTTTCCCCAATCGACTTGGGGCTATTACAGTTCCAAAAGGATCGGTAACAGCGAAAAACAGTGGCGTCATCACATCATACATAGTGAGCACAACACAAATGCCGCAGCCTTAATCAACATAACGAAAAATGATAATAATAATTGCTAACAATTAAATTGCAGGTTGCACGTTGAATGTAACATACAATGGGATGGTTGTTCGAGATGTTCACAGCCACATTCAAGTACACTAACATACATGTCATCAAGAACGCAGGTATCTAGATTATGTCTGTACAGGTCGGTCACATATATGGCTCACTAACTTGCTGGCAAACGTTGGTATTGGCAGTAGTGTCAGATCATGAGGCAGAGCATTATATTGTCGGGGTGCGCGACTACAAAAACGTCTCCGGCCCATTTCTGTACAGGACATAGGTACCTGCAGATTGTTATTCTGCCTAGTATCGCGGTCGCGAATGTCCGACCTCAAAATGAGGTTGTCGGCAAGCGTTTTAGGCACTCCCGTGCGACGCACTTTGTGAGCCATACACAGAGTATGGTACTCGACAAGCTCACTGGCTTTAAGCCAGCCTAATTTATGTAATAAGTCAGACACGTGATCAAATTTCTTGCGTCCAAAAATGACTTTAGCCGCATAGTTTATGACTTTTTGGATGCGATTAATATTTTTGCGTGTACCATTACCATAAACAGACAAACAATAACGGATATGTGAAATGACTAACGCATCAACCAGTATCGAGATTACTGATGGCGGCAGGTGACCCCTCAGTTGCGCTAATCCGATGAGGATACCAAAACAACGCTGAGCGATTGATGAGACGTGCGCATCCCAGCTGAGAGTACAGTCAAACTGGACTCCAAGGTTTCTGGTCTGCGAGACGGGAATCAGAGTACAACCATGAAATCTAACAGTGCCATTAGGGGGATCGCGCATGTTCTTAGGACTTCCAAGTAGCATCAACTGTGTTTTACCAGCGTTTAGTTTGAGTCCGTTGGCACGAAACCACAGCCCTATGCATTCTAGTATTCGTTCTAATTTGCAGGTTACTTTTTCGAATTCGTCTTTTCTGCCACTGACTAAAATCTGCGTGTCATCCGCATACTGAACAATCACTGCATCTTCAGCAAACAAACTTAGATCATTAGCAAAAATACAATACAGAAGTGGACCTAAGGCCGAGCCCTGGAATACACCGATATCATTAGGGAGGGGTTTGGAACACTGGACAATTCCTTTGCTGTCGGTAAAACGAACACTTTGAGTGTGACCACAGAGGTAGCTAGAAAACCAGGAAATTTCGATCCCATGCAACTGCAGCTTTGTTAGAAGTTTAGAGTGATCAATCACGTCAAAGCATTTACTTAAGTCGAGCATGCAGAGAAGTGAAAATTCTCCCTTGTCGTTAGAAGAAAGGATGTGATCAGAAATGGTAAGGAGAGCTGTTTCGGTTGAGTGCCGTGGACGAAAGCCGTGCTGCGAGGGAGAAAGAAGATGGTTATAAGACAGGTACCTGTACACTTGTTGGTGAACAGCGCGTTCAACAATTTTTGCGATGACGGGAACTATCGAAATCGGCCGGTAATTACAAGGCTTTGACGACTCTCCAGATTTATAAACAGGAAAAACAAGGGAGTGTTTCCAAGAGGATGGCACCTCGGAAAGGGAAATGCTAGAGTTAACTAAATGAAGAAGCACATAGCCGATTGCATCGAAAGCCATGCGGATCATTTGAATATTGATGCCATCTTGGCAACATGCGTTTGATCCATTCATATGAAAAACAATATCTCTCAGCTCAGAAAGTGTTAATAAACTTGGTTTGAAGGCGCAAGCCCCGACTCGAGGTAAACGGCATGGTATGTCAGTGGCCGGCCCCTCATTCCTCACCTCGTTGGCCACACGAGGGCCCACACTAACAAAATACTCGTTAAGCTGATCGGCCGTCAGGTCGGGTAGTATGCGTTCAGCTTTTTTAGAGCTCACAACAGATCTAATTTCCCGCCAAGTGGAATGGGGACCCTGGTCGCAGATGCGTTGTTTAATGTCAAGGCGTCTATCACGTCTGATGGCTGACCGTACTGACCGGTTCAATGCCTTATACTCGGCCGAGCTGTGACCGCCGGCGTTTAGTGCCACTCGACGGCGAGTCATAAGCTGTTTCGTCTGATCACTAACTGGAGGTGCATTCGAATTTCGTATGCGAATAGCTCTCATCGGAGCGTGAATATCAAGAATGTGCAAAAAGAGAGCAAGAAAGCGCTCCCATTTGAGGCTGACGGTAGACGCGGTTAACACTGATTCCCAATTTGCAAGGGAGAGGTCAAGCACAAATGCCTGCAAGTCAATGCGTCGAAGACAGCGTGATCTGATAATACGACGAGGCTTTCGGACACGGGGAATACTGATACAAGCAAGAACAATCTTATGAGGACT